AAAAAAAAAAAAAATGACAAAGGATGAACTGAAGCTCTGCCATCACGTAATGTCGCATACTGCTGTTTCTGATGTCATTTAAAAAAAAAAAAAAAAAAAAAGAAACTGAGGTGCAGACGTAGGATATCTGATGTGATCTTCAAAGCTTGTTCCCTTTAGAAAGACCCACAGGAAGCTGTTTTAATGCAGAGGACGTAAAGTGCTGATTTCTCCATGTGGAGCTCAATTGAGCTGCTTTCAGCGCTGTACACAAAAAGACTAAAAGTGCCATAATAGCCAATAAAAATACAATAAAACACAATTAAAAAAAAAAAAAAGATAGTTTCAAAATAAATAAGGAATTCAAAAATAATATTTATTATTTAGTGACAATAATTACATAATGGTAGTCCCTCTTCAGGAACATGATTTACATATTCAGGTCTTGTCAGCAAATAACTGAGTAACCGAAGTAATGACGATATAACATTATTACATCATTATTAATAGTTAAAGCTGTATCAATCAGGTCATGAACTGAATTAATAAATGCATTGTATTACAAATACATTAGTCACATCTTGATAAAAACAAATGCAGTTTAGAAGCATCCAGAAATAACCTTGGAGCCTGAGAAGGGGCAAATGACAACACCCAAAGTCCATCATGGATAAGAGCTATTGCATAACGTGAGGCTCAAGAAATTAAAAATCACACATAGCAATGTTTTTCTTTTCTTTTTCTTTTTTTTAGATATTTTTTTTCTGAACAACTAAAGAAGCAGGATGTGCACTGATCAGCATGAAAGCAAAAGATAGCATTTGTGCAAGAAATTAAGCAAAGCATTACTAGAATAAATAGTCATTCTGATACACAAGCAAAGCAACACCTAATACATTTCCTGTTAAAACAGGAAGTTAAGTCAGGTGTTACAAAAAGGAACTAACTAATCAGTCCACAGTTCGTTAGTTCAGGAAATTGTGGTTGCATTTCATTATAGAGAAGGAGCTGTCATAAACTGCAAGATAAGCAGACTAAATGTTGAATTGAGGCCTGGCCCGTGAAAGGAATCGTGTTTTCATGGAAGCCTTGTTGTGTGCTGTTTAAGAGACTTTTCTCTTTTCAGGAGGCTTTATTCTTGTCCCATTATCAGAGAGATTGAAATCATTTGGTACTTTGACCATTGTACTATTCAAGAATCTGCTTGTTGATCTGACTATAACTACAGATAGGCCATTGTGTGTGCTGATTTTTTTCTAAAACCTGGTTGCCTGTTTTCTGTTTGATGTCATTCAGGGACCGCCATGTGAGCGCTAATATTTAGACCACCAAACAGGTGGTCCTCTTATTGCGGGCACTGTTGTCCTGTTTTCTTGTTTATGCATAACAAAATTTTCAGCCCAGGTTGAATTTCAGATTGGAAGTGAAACGATAATTCAAGTGAAATGAAGTACGAAAGCATATGATTTAGTCCACTTTTATTTACATATATATTATTAATTACATGAACAACAGGAGAGGATAAAAGAAGAAATCAAATTCTTAGTTCGTGTGTGTGTGTGTGTGTGTGTGTGTGTGTGTGTGTGTGTGTGTGTGTGTGTGTGTGTGTGTGTGTGTGTGAATTAAATTGAATACATTCTTATTTCCCCTTCTACATATTGTAATGTCTAAACATCAGAGCCCTGCATTAAACAGCTGTTCGGTCCGCGGCCAGGCCCCTCAAAAGCTGATATGTCCTCCTCTGAGCTTTCAAATTCCTGCTCTGATGTCTAGTCTTACTCCACCTATTGCCCCTTATAGCTGTCCTGAGTAAAATAATTTCTGCCTCATCCTGCCCTCTACTTCCTGAAGTATGGACATTGGTTGAACATGCGAGGTACTTACACTTCTTTTCGAAGGGGTAAAACTATTGTGCATTTCTGAAATCCTACTAAATCAAAGTTCAGACTTGGAAATAGAAGAAACAACTTGAGTTTAAGCAACAGAATCATGCTATCTACAGTACCACTCCCTTGTGTCCATAAAATCTGGAAGTTTCAATTTCCACCATTTTGAAAAGAACATACAGAAGGAGTCATATAGATTGCATAGATGGAGCTTGATGAAGCAGTCTAATACTGTTTTTCCCTAAAGTTTAAGTAACTGGATACAGATTGAATTGTCTATTAAGCACAATTCATTTAAATTTTCACATTGTATTTAAGGTTCTGGTTATCTAGTTATGGTTGATTGATATTTCTGTTACATCAGTGTCAGCATTTCAATAATTTTAAAGCATGTTTATCCCAACCTTTACACTTTTTGTTAATTAAAAAAGTAATTTGTCTACTTTAAAATAAAGGTATGAGTAAAAATACACCAGCTATTTTTACTTTTACAGTCCAAATTGACAGTCCAAGTTTTCCTCACTTGGACTTTAACAGTCCAAGTGAGGAAAACAGAGAGCAGTAATTAGATTTAATTACTGCTCTCTGTTTGCCTCAATGAATGAGTTAATACACTTACACATCAAAGTACTATGACTGTATCAGCCTGAATCAAGGTTTAATTTTATTAGTGACTGTTAAAT